GCCTGTGGTCCCAGCTACTTGGGAGGCAGAGGCAGGAGACTCGCTTGAGCCCAGGAGTTGGAGGTTGCTGTGAGCTCTGATGCCATGGCACTCTACCCAGGGGGACAGCTTGAGGCTCTGTCTCAAAAAAAAAAAAGAAGTCACTTTTGGCTACTGTATTGTACAGCATTGTTGTGAGAAACGTGGGTCACATCAGTCTCTGATTTTTAGAATTTCCCAATCTCTTAGGTTGTTTATCTATCTATAATAGTCCCAAAATAAATAATGTGTTTTGGGCACCCTCTGTCACCCTTTCCTCCCCAGGGGTACTTTCATTGAATTCCGCAATGGGATGTTAAACGTGTCCCCTATTGGAAGGAGCTGCAGCCAGGAGGAACGCATTGAGTTCTATGAACTTGATAAAGTGAGTCTTCCTGAAATGTCCTTGGTGAATGGCTGGGTTTGTGAAAGTAAAATAAGACATACAACTTTGTAGCCAGTATTTGAAGTGTGCTTTCTTAAATTGCAGTATAATACACAATTGGTATCTTTTTGTTTTTCTCAGAAAGAAAATATAAGACAAAAATTTGTAGCTGATCTACGGAAAGAGTTTGCAGGAAAAGGCCTTACATTTTCCATAGGTATTGTATATTCAAATGTTTTGGTGCCCATTTGCCAGGAGTTTGTTATGGGCTGGTGAACTGTTGAGATTGGACTGCATCCTGTTTTCAGGTAGGCAGAGGGCTGAGTAAGTAGTCTGATCTGGAGAGGAGAACCAGCCACTCACTCTTCTGCAGAATTGTCCGTAGTGAGATGTGCCTGGTCAGGACGTGGTTTCCAGACTGTTAGTTCTGGTTCTAAGTTCTTAGCAGGATTCTTCCTACCTGCTCTTCTCCTGGTCAAAAGAGGGGCACTTTGATTAATGAAGAGTTAAGAACTTATCCTCACACCTTTGAACGGAAGAGAAGTGCTACAGTGATACCATGAGACAGGTGGAGTGTGAACCTCTTAGATAAACTCTACTGATTGTGTTTTGGAATTGTATTTCAATGGCTAGGAACCGCAGGAGTCAATTGGGTTGCTTTTAGAAAGCAAGGCCCAGAAAGGAGAAGAGTCTTGTCCAAGTTACAAAGTTTTTATTTACTGTGACAGCCAGTTTGTAAAGGTTTCTGGCGTCTAATGAAGACTTCTTCCAGCAGCATGGAAGTCTCAAACTTGTCTCTTAGTAGAATATGCCTGACAGTTGTTTTGCAAACTGATTTCTCTTGTCGGTGCTAATGAGTCATTGCTCAAAGACCTCTCATTTTGCCAGCTTTAATTAAGGTACAGGTTGTAGGAAAACCAGAAGTGCAAAGGACTTATGTATTAACAGATGAATGGGTGGATTTTTAAGTATCCCTGAATGGTGATGAGGTGGACCTCTTTCCAACAAAACTTTGGAAGGATTTTTGTTGCCCATGAAAGCTGCAAGATATGCTGGATGCAGCCTGCTTCCAGGCACTTCCCACCCGGGTGTGTTAAAGCTCAAGACAAATGCAACAGGCCAAAGCCATTACTGGATTTTTCTTTTTTTTTGGTTGCCATCGTCATTGTTGTTTTGGCAGGCCTGGCTGGATTTGAACCCGCCACCTTAAGTGTATGTGGCTGGCGCCTTAGCCACCTGAGCCACAGGCGCCAAGCCCCTTACTGGATTTTTCACAGCTTTCTTCATTTAAACCACTTACTTGACAGCGCACATAAATGAAATACATTTCTCATTCTGAATTGGCATTCTCTGAGTTTTAGACCCAGACAAAGTAATGTTGGAGAAAAACATGATGTAGAATTAATTTTAGAACCTGTTCATAAAGTATTGTAATAGCAAGTTAGGGTGTTAAAAACCAAATTTGGCAATCCAGTTGCTGACAGAGTAAATTACAAATTATTTTCAATGATGTGCCATTAGCCTCCTCTTCACCTTTAGCTTTTGTGTGTCTCCCCTCAACCCGGCAGGAGGCCAGATCAGCTTTGATGTCTTTCCTGATGGATGGGACAAGAGATATTGCCTGACACATGTGGAAAAGGAAGGTTTTAAGACCATTTATTTCTTTGGAGACAAAACCCTGCCAGTAAGTATGGAAGTGTTTTTGCAGTTTTGTTGTTCAATTTGGACTTGATCTGGAAAAACTGACAAATGTGCTCTTTTCTTTGTCACCTACACTTTATTCACTGGCCTAGCTCAAACTGAGGGATGGCTTCTGTCCTAGAGGGGGTATGACTGATGAAACCTCCCTCCCTTCTGAGCTCAGACACCTGACACCTCAGCCTGGCTGAGGATCAGACTGCATGTTAGTCAATCCTTTTCTGTTTGGCTTTTGAATTAAATATTGGCTACTTGAAGTGCCTTGCAGAAGACCAGTCCCTGGTGCTATTGTTAAACCTTCTCTGCATTTTAAAGCTCTTGCTGGTTTCTTTTTTTTTTTTTTTTTTTTGAGACAGAGCCTCAAGCTGTCCCCCTGGGTAGAGTGCTATGGTATCACAGCTCACAGCAACCTCCAACTCCTGGGCTCAAGCGAGTCTCCTGCCTCTGCCTCCCAAGTAGCTGGGACCACAGGCGCCCGCCACAACGCCTGGCTGTTTTTTTTGGTTGCAGCCATCATTGTTGTTTGGTGGACCCGGGCTAGATTCGAACCCGCCACCTTAGTTGTATGTGGCTGGCGCCTTAGCCACTTCAGCCACAGGCACCGAACCTCTTGCTGGTTTTTTTGTTTTGTTTTGTTTTGTTTGAGACAGAGTCTCACTTTGTTACCCTGGGTAGAGTGCCATGGCGTCATAGCTCACAGCAACCTCAAAGTCCTGGACTTAAGCAATTCTGTTGCCTCAACCTCCCAAATATTTGGGACTAGAGGCCTCTGCCACAATGCCCAGCTATTTTTTTAGAGACGAGGTCTCACTCTGGCTCAAGCTGATCTCGAACCCTTGAGCTCAAGCAATCCACCTGGCTAGGCCTCCCAAGTGCTGGGATTACAGGCGTGAACCACTGTGCCCGAACAGCTCTTACTGTTTTTATTTTATTTTTCCACTGTACTTTTGTCCTGAGACATTCATTATAAGGTAAGCACTGGAGTCACACATGTTAGAGGACAGTGAATCCTGTGAGTCTGAAACTCGAGTGGGGCTCAGTCCAAGGCAGTACACACATGGCTTAGGGGGCACTTTCCCTGAAGGGGTGTCACAATCCCAAGTTCAGGACCAAATCTTCATTGGAAACTGAGCAAGGCCCAGTGGAAAAGGCCACAGCAGTAGGACGAGTACATAGAAGAAACTTCCCCAGAGCCACCAAAGCAACTCTCTCTGGGACAGTGAGTCCCCAGCAGGTTGCAGAGCCACTGCTGCCATCGGCCTGAGAGGATGCTCAGCTCCAGTCACTCATGGTGCAGCCACAGGTCCAGCATCTCTGGGCCATCTCCCTTATTTTCCCTTGAGACAGGGTCTCCTCCTGTTGCCCCGGCTAGCGTACAGTGGCATCATCATAGCTCATTGCAACTTCAAGCTCATGGGCTCAGGAGATCCTCCTGCCTCAGCCTCCCAAGTATCTAAGACTTTAAGAGCCCTCCACCACACACCCCCTCCAAAGGAAAGACATGCTACAGCAGACTTTTGTAATGATGACATTCTTGCTGTATGTAAATAACCATCTAGAAGCTTCATTTGGGACTTTGTGGAATGGAATGCAGTTCTTACATAATCAGAAAATGACTTTTGGAAATTTTACATTTGGGAATTAAAAGGTTTCCTATTCTGTTTAACCATTCCACCATTCCATTATATTACCATCCATTGATTCTATTTTTTTTTAAATCCTACCTACTGTTTAAAAAGAAATACTTTTGTTTTTTAAGAGACAGGCTCTTACTCTACTGCCCAAGATGGTCACATGAGTATAGTTTATTGCAACCTATAATTCCTGGGCTCAGGCAGTCCTCCTGGCTTAGCCTCCTGAGTAGCTAAGACTATAGGCACTCATCACCACACTTGGCTATTCTTTTTAAAATTATTTATTTATGTATTTGAGAGACAGAGCCTTGCTCTGTTGTCCCAGCTAGAGCACAGAGGCATCATCATAACTCATAGTAGCCTCAAATGCCTGGGTTCATGTGATCCTCCTTCTTGAGCTCCCAAGTAGCTGGGACTAAAGGCACCATCACATCTATTTAATTTTTCTATATATTTTTTTGAGACAGAGCCTCAAGCTGCCCCCCTGGGTAGAGTGCCATGGCATAGCTCACAGCAACCTCCAACTCCAGGGCTCAGGCGAGTCTCCTGCCTCTGCCTCCCAAGTTGCTGGGACCACAGGCACCCGCCACAACACCTGGCTATATTTTTTTGGTTGCAGCCATCGTTGTTTGGCGGGCCCGGGCTGGATTCGAACCCACCACCTTAGGTGTATGTGGCTGGCGCCTTAAGCCACTTGAGCCACAGGCGCAGGGCCAATTTTTCTATTTTTTAATAGAGATGGATCTGGCTCTTGCCCAGGCTGGTCTTGTACTCCTAACATCAAGGGATCCTCCCACCACTGCCCTTTCAGTGCAGGACTGCAAGTTTGAGCCACCATTCCCGGTATTTTTTTTTTTTTTAATTTTTTGTAGAGACAAGGTCTCACTCTTTTGCCCAGGCTGGTCTTGAACTCCTGGCCTCAAGCAATATTCCTACCTTGGCATACTAGAGGAACATCTGGGTTGTTTAAGAATTTATTTAGGCTTGGCACCTGTAGCTCAAGTGGCTAAGGCACCAGTCACATACACCAGAGCTGGCGGGTTCAAATCCAGCCCGGGGCTGCCAGACAACTACAATCAATAAATAGCCGGGCATTGTGGTGTGCACCTGTAATCCCAGCTATTTGGGAGGCTGAGGCAAGAGAATTGCTTAAGCCCAAGAGTTGGAGGTTGCTATGAGCTGTGACGCCATAGCACTCTACCCAGGGTGACAGTTCGAGACTCTGTCTCAAAAAAAAAAAAGAATTTTTTAGGCTGGGCTCCCATAGCACAGTGGTTATGGTTTTAGCCACATACACCGAAGTTGCCGGGTTCAAACCCAGCCTGGACCAGCTAAAACAACAATGACAACTGCAACAAAAAATAGCCAGGCTGGCTCAGCACCTGTAGCTCAAGTGGCTAGGGCACAGCCACATACACCAGAGCTGGCAGGTTCGAATCCAGGCTGAGCCTTCCAAACAACAATGACAACTACAACCAAAAAAATAGCCAGGTGTTGTGGGTACCTGTAGTCCCAGCTACTTGGGAGGCTAAGACAAGAGTATCACTTAAGCCAAGGAGTTGGAGGTTGCTGTGAGCTGTGATGCCATGGCATTCTACCCAGGGTAACAGCTTGAGGCTCTGTCTCAAAAAACAAAAAAACAAAACACTAAGACCTGCCTTCTTTTTATATTAAATTGTGCAACATTTTTTTTCTCCAGAAATATTAAAATGTGTCTTTTTTTTTTTTTTTTTGAGACAGAGCCTCAAGCTGTCACCCTAGGTAAGAGGGTTATGGCATCACAGCAACCTCCAATCCTGGGCTTTGGCCATTCTCTTGCCTCAGCCTCCCAAGTAGCTGGGTCTATAGGTGCCCGCCACAATGCCCAGCTATTTTTTGATTATAGTTGTTATTGTTGTTTGGCAGGCCCGGGCTGGATTTGAACCCGCCAGCTCCGGTGTATGTATGTGGCTGGTGCCCTAGCCGCTGAACTACAGGTGCCAAGCCAAAAGGTATCTTTTAAATTAGCTTAGACAGAAGTCCATATTAGCATGGAGTCAAGAGGCAGTGGGCTTTGAAACCAAGATGACCCAGCTCTGACCCCACCACTCACAGGCACGGTGACCTCATCAACCCAGGGAGGGTTTCGTTCCTCTTTTGAAGGAGGTGTGTGAGAGTGAAGTGAGGTCATATGAGAAATGTGGTCATTGCGGGGCCTGGCTCAGGGAAGACAGTCTGGATGTGCCTCTTTTCTAGCAGAGGTTCTAGTCCACAACGTGCTTCCTTTACCTTTGTGAGAAAGTTATGAAAATGTTCATCTGTTAAAGCTGGTTCATGGTGGCTCATGCCTGTCATCCCAACCCTCTGAGAGGCCAAGGAGGGAGGATCACTTGAGGCTAGGAGTTTGAGACCAGCCTGAGCAACATAGTGAGATTCCCGTCTCTACAAAAAAAGTAAGAAAAATCAGCCAGGCATGGTGGCGGCACATGCCTGCAGTCCACAGACCGAAACCTTGCCTCAGAAAAAAAGATGTTCATCTGTTATTGAGGCTGTTACACGAGAGGGGCTGGCCCAATGTCCCTGGGAGACGGTGACAAGTTGCCCTTGTGCGGTAGTGCATTCCTACAGGATCGAACTGATAATTGGTGGACCATGTCTTCCTGTCCTCAGGTTCCCAGTTAGGACAGGAATTGGTTTTGCAATCCTGAACTATTCACTGATGCTTGCATCTGCTGCTCTCAGCGCTCCTGAGTGCTAATGAGGCCATGGAATGTACTCTGTGGACACAGGTCCATCTTATTACATACTCGTTTCTGGGGCAAAATTGTTACAGCCCTGGGTGCTGTAGTTGGCCAATGGCAGGCTTAGCTTAGCCCCGTGCTCCCGGAAGGACCCTGAGTGAATTGCTACTCCCCAGAGGCTGCTGCCTGAACAGATTAGAGATAGTTGAAGCAGACTGTGGTGTCTCAGCCCAGCTGGGGAGCTATTCTTCTGGCTCCTGTGTAGGAGGACAGGAAGCAGGTACCACTCAGGGGAAACAGGTTTCGAATGTGCCCTGGGGTCTCTGCCAGCCTGCCTTGCCGCTAAAGCCAGACTCCATTGAGCCCATGGCCCCGCTGATCCTGAGAACGGATGGTGGCTGACTGGACAAGTATCCCTCCCTCTGTGCCAAAGCTCTTCTGTTCAGGGAGACACAGGCTTCAGCTCCCTGGAGTCCACTGGCACTGGCACTGACATCACAAATTTGGCATCTCCTGCTTATTAGCTATCTCCTCTGCCCTCCAGAGCTAGAGGCCAGAGGAGGGGTTTGTACTCAGAGGGGATTGTTCCACCCCTCTCCTTCAGCTGCTCACCCCCCGTATTTGGGAATCACCTGATCACTTTTCCAAACCTCATGACCCTGCCCTGCCCACAATGTGCCTTGTTTTTGTTTTTGTTTTTTGCAGTTTGCCGGGTTGAACCCACCACCTCTGGTATATGGGGCCAGTACCCTACTCCTTTGAGCCACAAGGCTCTCCTGGAGACTCTACCACCAGGGAGAGCTACTGCTCTAGGTGTTGTGAGGGCAGCTTCTTGTCTTGTTGGCTTCTGCACCCATAATACCTAGAAATTTGATAAATTCTTGTGAAACTGAGCTGAAATAAATGTCTGCATGCAGCAAGTGCCCACTGGCCGCTGGGCACACAGGCCAGGACCCTACTCCCCTCTTCAGTTCTGAGTCAGCACCAGCGTGTGCAGAGAAAGAATAGGGGAGACTCCACAGCCCCCCGGCTGTGGGACATGGCCAGGCTGTACCTTGTTTTGTCCTCAGACCTTGGGCCTTTCAGGGATTTAAATATTAATTGGCAGGTCTCACTGAGCTGTGGCCTCCTTTAGCAGGTACAGAAATCTGATCCCGCTTTCATCCCTCCCCTCCTGCCCTCTCTTTATCTTCTCTCAGGAATAGGGTTTTTGTTCTGGGAGCGTGGGGGTGGCAGAGTTTCCCCAGGCATTGAGTAACCTTAGTGCATATGCAAATCCAGTGCCTGAGACTTCCTGCTCTCCGGCCTTATTATTCTAGAGGCCAGCCGGCTTTCACTGGCTGGGTTTGGGTCCTGGCCTGCACCTACTCTGGTATGTAGACTTGAGAGTCACAAAGGAGGAAATAGGTCCCTTGGCTGGAGGGATAGAACGGTGGAGGTGGGCTGTGTGATAATGCAGATGCTCTGACAGTCCCTCTAAATGGGCCTTGGGTGCAGGGACCCAGCCTGCCTGCGGGAGGGTTTCACCTCTCTGAATGTGTTGTGATCCTCTGGACCTGGCTCGATTCAGTGCCAGTGAGTTACACTTATGCACAGCCCACCCTCATTCCACAGACAACTCCCTCCCTGCCCCACCCCTAGCCGGGCCACAGGAGGCTCCTGCCACATTCTGCCGCCTCTGTCAGGCATGCCTCTCTCCCTGAGAGTGCCATCTCAGAGGGGCAGGCCTGGCAGCTGTCACACAGGAGTGCATCAGCCCCTTTCGCTTCAGGGTCTCCTCCCAGGTCATGCTTTCTGCCCCCATTGTACCCTGGCCGGCCCCAGGAGGCTCCTGACTGCTCAGCTTCCATGCTCTTGTCCCGTCCATTTCCCAGAGAAAGCCTGTTATAAAGTTATCTGATGGTGTCCCAGGCTTGCAGCCTTCTGGTGGCTTCACAGGAACTCCCCTCCAGGCTTGGCCCCTCCATCACCCCTGGGGCAGGTTCTTACCTGCTGCCTTCCCAGAGAGTCACATGACCTGGCCCCTCACCTCACATCCCTGGTCAGAAGCCCTCCCTGTCACTTTGGGTCCCCTTGCTCAACAAGGTATCACAGAGCCATGTGTTCATGGCCTGTCTTCCAAGTGGCCCCCATAGCAGCCCTGGTATGGGTTTGGTTTGTGCTGTATCTCCAGCTTCCAAAAGCACCACTGACAGGAAGTAGGTCCCCACGAAGGCTGTAATCTCAGGTAGCGAGTGACACGGGGGTGCATGTGTCCCAGAGAGATGTTTCCTTCTTCCAGAGTGGGCAAGAGTCAGCTTTGCCTTTGTTGGGACTTTGTGACTTTTATCCATGATGCCATTCCTGAGAGAAACCTGACTTTTTTAGTCTTAAGAATTACTAGACCAGGGTGGTACCTGTGGCTCAAGAGAGTAGGGCACCGGCCCCAGCCAAACTGCAACAAAAAAATAGCTGGGCATTGTGGCGGATGCCTGTAGTCCCAGCTACTTGGGAGGCTGAGGCAAGAGAATCACCTAAACCCAGGAGTTGGAGGTTGCTGTGAGCCGTGTGATGCCACAGCACTCTATAGACGGCAATAAAGTAAGACTCTGTCTCTAAAAAAAAAAAAAAGAAGAAAAAGAAAAGAAAATCCAGGCTTAAAAGAATTAGACTCCCCTCTCCTCTAAAAAAAAATAATAATTATTATTATTATACCTAACTTCATCATTATTATACCTGATGTATTTGTGCAGGTATTAATGCTGGCCACAACTCAGGGCTGGTATGAATGGACCCAGGGACATGGCCTCCTAACGTGACTCACCCAGTGCTCTTAGGCTCCCTCATGGAGTCTGGGACTTCACCCTCACCTGGGGGAGCTGTGCTCAGGGTTGGGTTATTCCTCAAAAGTAAAAGCATTAGTGATTTTTTAATTTTTTTTGAGACAGAGACTCACTTTGTGGCCCTCGGTAGAGTGCCATGGCATCAGAGTTCACAGCAGCCTCAAACTGTTGGGCTCAAGTAATTATCTTGCCTCAGCCTCCCAAGTAGCTGAGACTATAAGCACTGCCACAATGCCCAGCTATTTTTAGAGATGGAGTCACTCTTGCTCAGGCTGGTCTCAAACCCATGAGCTCAGGCAATCCACCCTTCCAGACTGCTGGGATTACAGGCCTGAGCCACCATGCCTGGCCTAATTAATTATTTTATTTATTTATTTATTTATTTTGAGACAGGGTTTCATTATGTCACCCTCAGTAGAGTGCTGTGGCATCACAGCTCACAATAATCTCAAACTCTTATGCTTAAGTGATTCTCTTGCCTCAGCCTCCCAGTTGCTGGGGCTACAGGCTCCTGCCACAACACCCGGCTGTTTGTTGTTGTTGTTGTTGTTGTTGTTGTCATGTTTGTTTAGCTGGCCCTGGCCGGGTTCGAATCCAGCAGCTCCAGTGCATGTAGCCGGCGCCCTAACCACTGAGCTACGGGCGCTAAGCTTAATTCTTTAAAAAGATACCAGATTTTCTTGTAGAATCACATTTTTCTCCATATTGGCTTTATTCTCTGTGCTTTAGGAGAAAAAAATCCATTACCTCTGCAGTTATTTTTATCATATTATAAACTAATTGATTTTTTCATAGTTTTGAGTTAGACTGCTAATCCAGTTTTAGGAGGAAAATATGGAAAATTCCAAGATAAGAAAAGCAGAGGCCTTCCTACAGGACTCAGCTTGGGGCAGGTAGCCTGATTCAGTAGTCTGAGACCTCGGGGTTGACACAGGCCCTTAGGAAAACAGCCTTGCTGAGGCCTCTGTTTCCCCATTTTACCAAGGTGTAGCTCATCCTTGCCCTGAACCCCTGGGGGCACCCTAGGTTCCTGTAAATGCCTAGAAAGCTGCCCTAGCCACGGTGCTAGTGTTGGTGCTCCATCATTTGCACCAACACCAACACCATTTCCAGGGGCTTTTCCCGTCTCATTTGCTTCTCACCACAGGGGTGTGGGTGAGGTTCCACCATGGAGTTTGTGCAGCCACACCCTTAGTCAGTGGTATAACCAGGATGTAACCCAGGCCACTAATTCCAAAGACCCTTCTCTCAGACACCAGCTGCAAAGGGGGAGAGGGGTGTGTAAATTAAAATCTAATCCATTCAGTTCCTCTGTCACACTAGCCACACCAAGTGGGCAGTAGTTGCATGTGGCCAGTAGCTGCCATCACCATGGCATTGCTCGTCCATCATCATAGGAAGTGCCATGGGGAGCCCTGTTCCAGGCTGTGCCCTCCTAATGCTCCCTAACTTGTTAGAGAAATTTGGGCACAGCTAAAACAGACTGATGGCTGTAAGGATCCTGTCACTTGCTGTGCCTTTTTTTAATAGAAAAATAAGCCATAGACAGATCTTTGCAGGAATGTCGTGATTTCTTTCATAGGCATAATTACATGTTCCAAGCCAAACTGCAGTTCAAGAGAAGGTTATAAATCTCTTCTCAATAATAACTGCACTCATGATGTTCCTCTCCTAGAAACTAAGGAGTAGGTAACTGAAAAAATTTTCCATGCCCAGGAAAATCTCAAGTTCATCATTTCTCTGGTAGCCTCAGGCCCCAGGTTTATAACAGCAAGGGCCCGAGACTAACAAGACGGGGCCTTCACCTGTACTTCATGTCTTTGTAGGGTGGCAATGACCACGAGATCTTCACAGACCCAAGAACCGTGGGCTACACTGTGACGGTGCCAGAGGATACACGCAGAATATGTGAGGAGCTCTTCTTCTGATGGGGCAAGGGGGATCCTGGTTACTTGTTGGCTGAAGCTGAGGGCCCTCCCACATGCTCACACCCGCTTCTGCCCCAGCTGGACCCTGTGCCACTCCCCTGATCACACATGGTCTATACCTCCAAAGCCTCAGAGTAATTGCCTTCCACCCCCAATGCTAGGAGTAGCTAGAAGAGAGAAGAAAATACTCTTTGAGAATGGCTCAAAGGACTACCTCCAGCAAGATTCATGCCCTAGCCCTCCCAGACTAGGACCTGCAACTTCCCCACCACTCTAGGGTGTTACAGAAAGAAAGAACATGCCCGGATCCTCCCAGTTTATGGGCCTTATGAAAACATAAGAGGTGTTCGTGTTTGGACCCCTGTGTCAACACTGAAAAGGAGGATCTGGGGATGACAGAATAAGGACAAGCCATCTGCAGTGACCTACCCTGTGACAGAAGTTAGAAACACTCCCTGAAATGAAGATCCTTCCTGCATCGGCTGGAGGGGGGAGTTGCTGTGGGAGGCAGAACCAGGAGGGGCTACAAGTACTGTTTTCCAAGCGGCTTCCTGTTGGCTCCTGTTGGCCAGGCTAAGGCCTGCCGGACAGGTGGCTGGCCCATGACTCCGGCCCATGCTGTGCTCACTGCACTTCAAGGAGCCTGCTTTTCCATGACTTTCAAGATGGGTGGAAAAAGGAATCAACAACCCTGTGGAGAATTGGCGCTGGCAGAATGTTCCATCCCTAGAGAGTTCAGAGAAGCCCACTTGGGAGTTCAAACTTCACCAAAAGGACCTTCTCATCAGACCTGGCTGGGCTTCCCAGAGGCGCTCACCCCTGGTTTCTCAGGTTTAGGGGAGAGCCTGGCTAGGTGTAAGAACGTCCACCTTGGTCCCCTCAGCCACTTTTACTAACTACAACTGGGCCTGCAGCCCTCACTCCTCCTCTCTACACTCTGCAAGCTCTTTGGGAAACTGGAAGGAGGTTCACAGGCCTTGTCCAGAACACAGTGGAAGAGAACTAAAAAAACAGTTGATATGTTGCTTTTGGGATGCGGAAATACTGGGACCCTCGCACCCCTCTGCATACGGTGCTGGGGTGGCCTGGCCTCTGCTGGGTGCTGCCTGCCTGAGCCTGGCTGCTCTGCACTTCCCACCACCTACAGCCCAGCTGGGCCCCTCCAGACTGCCTGGCCAGACTGGCAGGAGCCCCTCATCTCAGGGATCCCTAAAACATGGCTGTCCAATATGGTGTTTTTCTGTGTTAAATTTCACAAATGACCTTTCAGAATGAAAGGTAGGGTACTAAAGTGATTTTTTTTCCTATCTCTAATTGATTACTGTTTCCTCCTTTGATTGGCAAGTGAGTGGTTAAGTGAAAGATTTGCAATTATATCTTAGATTCTGGAAGGCCTTCTAGATCTGAGAACCCCTTTCTTTGCTCTGGTATTTCTGTGATGTTAGGAGCCCCTCACTCTGTCCGAATGTTTTGCATCCCTGTTCCTGACACACAAAACCCCCCCACAGCTTTCCTGCCCACTTAGATCAGCATCCACAGTTCCCTACACATTTCCTTACCGTGTCAAATCAAGATCACTAAGTCTTACTCAAACCTGTCTTTACCTTCCCTGAAACTCACTGCCTGAGG